GTTTTCTCAAAACCACATAAAACCGTATTATAATATCGACTAAGACAAAAAAAAAAGCGAAACACTAAAATCAAGATACAATCTGAACATTCATAATCACAAAATTGCCACGAGACTTCTCAATAATTACAAAATTGTCACCGTGCAACTTTAGACCATTAGATCGTATGCTTATAAAGTTGATCAATGAACATAAATTAGTTTTACGGGTCTCACGAAAAACTTTTGGTCTCACGTGAACCCAACCATATATATATATATATATATATATATATATTTATTTATTTATAAAGCATAAGAGTATCATCGCCCCTGCGTTATTTCGTCCAAATGTTCGATTAAATGTTTAAAAGAGCAAAATTGTAAGATCAAGCTCAGGATAATCATTAAGCTTCTTTATGGTATTTAGTATGTTATGGTATGTTTAGAACATTTAAATGTTGCAAATCATTGAAGTTGGGATTATAAAAGTGAGTTGAGGAAAAATGTGAAAATTGGAATTACGGACAGTTGCAAGTCTAAAACCAATTGTGGTATCTTTCGTCTTTAACCACGCGGGACAGAACTGTTACAGTTTAGTTTAATGTTTGCGGTTTAAAAAATCGCAACCCAACTCAACCTAAACCGTATGGTTAGACTGTTTGCGCCTGGATGGGTCGAACTGAAACTTTGTTAAAAAAATAGTTTGGGCCAAAGAGAATACGTCAATCAATAAGGACCGTTTTGGTTCTCTCCAACTTTAGTGTTTTCCTTACGTTTAGTCATTTATTTTGTAATTGAACAAAAATCAACCCCACAACTATTATGAACTAAAAAAATTTCTTACTTTTTATAAAAAATTATCAACCATAGTTTTTTTACTTTTGATTTCAAATTACATAATAAGAAGTACGTAAATTTAAAACTATCTTATATATCTATAATAAAGATAAATAAAATTTCTTTCCTCGGTAGATTATTACTTATTAGCATTTATTATACTCAATTTTATATTAATAAAAAACATTTATTGAATTTTTTTCGTACTTACCAAGGGTCACCAAGAAAAGTGAGCTTTGATGATACACCTTTTAGGGGTTATTTGGATCATGAGAATTTGGTGGAATTGAAAGGAATTGGAATGTCCAATCCTTTGACCAAATTCCAAATAGAGTGTTTGGTTCACATAATTGATGTGAAGGAATCCTTCCAATTCCAACAAATTCATTAAGTTATTGATTTCACAATTTCACCGCATATACCATGGATTTCAAATTCCAATCCGACAAATTCCTTAGCCCTCATCCATTAATCGATGCTATATCTCGATTTGCTATGTTCTGCTATGCTCGATCTTGTTTAAAACTAATAATGGCAACATGCCAGGTTCGGGCCGGTTATTGGTATCCCCGTCCCGGAAACCGATAATTAAAACCGTCCTCGTGACCTCCCCGATCCCCGTCAGGAATCTTATCGGGGATCCCCATCGGGTCCCCGCGGTTTCCCCGATCCCGGTTGGGGAACCTGTTAAGGTAAAAATCTTTTTTTTTCCGTTCACCGTTGGTTATAACCGAACCCGAAACCGAAACACGAAACAAATTTAAAAAAATTACAATATGTTAATTTTCACAACTAAAAGTAAATTACAATTTTTTTAAAGATGCAAGTTTAAATGTCTCAAACATAATCGAACCAATTACAAACAATGTATTAGATTACAAAATAAAACTAAACAGAACTGCAAACATCATACAACTAAAATCACGATTTCACAATTAGACAAATAAATTACTGTAACACCCATATATTTTTACCACTAAAGAAATGTTACGTAATCTAAAATAGATCCTCCAAAAGCATTCCAAAAATAATGGCTAAATTAAAACTTTAGACCGTTTACAGCGGAAGACTTTAAAAGAGTAAATATATAACTTAATGTCAGTCCGGCCCACCGGGTTGCTTTACAAATTTATCTATCATAGATGATTGCACCTAAATATTGAACTTAAGTGGACTAGACAAGTCTCTATGTATGCCCTTCTTTTTCTTTGTCCAACCTGAAACCTTCTGTCCCTAAGATGCATACTATAGTCAGCTTATAAAGCTCAGTGAGTTCATAGTTTGCGTGAGTAAAGATCATTTCATATCATACATATCAACTTGTAAATTTTGTACCAAATAGTATGCATTTTCTGAAAAACATGCAACACTGAAAGAAAAGAGATCTCATAAATTATCTATCGGGTATGAGTCATTTAGTCACTGCATTCCCTGAGTTGTCCGACCTGCACCTGTCTAGACACTCATTATGGGGTTGTGCCACTTGTCATGTGACTTCTTGGTCAAATGTTCACTCGCTAAAACTGATCATGAAACTTTCAAATGAAATAACATGCTAAAGTTATTTGAAAACAAAATAAACATATAACATGCAATTGATCATAAAATAACATACATGTAAAATATATCGTAAGATGTATGTAATTGAAATATCATGTATACGTACACATCATCAACGATTCATATCAAGCTAAAATAAATTTGTACTTAGGTATGCATCCTAGTGAAATCTCATGAAAACTCACCTGATTGCGTATAGATTGACTACCGATCGCTCTTGACCAAATGCCTACACATTTCATACCATAACATCTCATTAACGTCTTAATTTCTCAAAAAGTCAACAAAAGTCAACTATTGTCATTCTGACCCAACCTAAAGTCAAACTTCGTATCCGAGTATCTTAATATGCCTCAAACAACTCTATTTGACCCGTCATTAATATCCACATAGGTCAAATATGCCAAAGATCAACTCTTGGTCAACTCGCTCAACCCCGACTAACTTTAGTCAAACCCCAAGTCTAAAACTCATTGGCATCCCAAAAAAACATTTCAACATCTTATAATCTCATCTCTTTAAATTAAAACGTCACAATAATTACTTTACTCAAATTACGACGCTTAAATCATCAAAACAATTTAATGATTTATATAAGCATCCTCCTTAGAAAATAAATAATTAACTAATATTAATATTCAAAAAAATAAATTAATTAATACTAATTCAATTTAATATATTAACTAATTTAGAAATTAAATTAATTAGTTAATATAAATTAATTAACTAAATCTGAAATTTATTAGTTTGAATCAATTCACAAAATCATATAACTTAAGTACCCAAATTAAGCCCAAAAAATATAGACTTCTTTTGTTAAAACAATAAGGGCTTAAAATATAGTCCAATAAGTAACTTGTTAGCTTTGGCCCAACATTAATAAATTAAAAGAGGAAGCCCAAAAAAACGTGGCCCAACAGACCACAACCAGCGACCAACAGCAGCAAATGTTGGTCACGCCGGCAGCCGGAAAAACAGGCCGATGATCACCGTTCTCACCCCCGTTAAAATCCTCGAATTCCTATTCAAAACTGCTCGATCTGGTATGCTCGACCTCTCTCTCTCTCTCTCTCTCTCTCTCTCTCTTTTTTTTTCTTTTCATCCTAAATAGGATTTTCTCGAAATGCCATCTATGTAAATTTCTCGTTGAATTCCGTGAACCAAACAAAAAAATTCCAAACAAAAAAAATTCCAATTCCGTTAAGAATTCCATTCCAATTCAATCCAACCAAACGCAATCAAAAGACATGGTCAAATTCCATCAAATTTCATTCCATTCCCTCAAAGTCAAATTCATTTGATGAATTCCAATTTTATCAAATTCCATTCTACGAATCAAACGCCCCCTTAGCGATGACATGTTTCCACCACAAGTTATAACGACAAAATTGTTGTTATATACGCTTTCTGATGATAAATGGATTTTTAGCAACAACTCGTTGCTAAAACACCTTGTTTCTTGCAGTGGGCCCTGATTTTACGTTCGCTCAAGGCCTATAAAATGTCACGAACGGGTCTGGTTTCAAACAACGTACAAGTACTTGAAAAAAGAATTTTACTATCAAAGAAAACAAGATTAAATAAAAGATACATTACAAAACAAGATTAATTTCACCACTCACCCCTCCCCTGTTGATAAAGAGAGAACCAAGACACCAAAACTGAACCACTCTACCCAACCTCTTCTACTTGAGAACGACCACGATTAGGTCCCGAATATGTATCTGTGAACGGGCTGCGCGTCAAAAGTCTTAACCACTTGCAACCATGGTTTATCTATCACTAAAACAGAACCTTTTGAAAGATGCCCAACATACAACACTGGTTCTCTGAAACCACGAATTTCAACATTCTTATTTTTACTTTCTAACTCATGCACCTCTATCAACTTTCGTTTTATTTTCCCCTTGTATAACTTCTTTAACGTTGAATCCTGACCCTTAACTTTCTCATGATCTTCATCTCCGCCAATCAGCATCCCCAAGTCAATGAAGCACATTGCCCTAAAAAAGACAACAATCAGCAAGCAATCCAAGTTTAATAGCATGTTGGCTAATTTCATATTGTGCAAATCCAACTACCTGGCACTGTAAATGATGACACTTGATGAATTCAAAGTTGGCGGAAAGGTAAGCCCGATAACCTCTCCAGGGAAGTCTTGATATCTTCTTGGTAAGATTAATGTGTTGTTGCTAGACCATTCTCCTAGTTTCTTAGCATACACGTCAAACGCATACACTTGATTGGAAGACGTGGATATTATTAGCAAATTGCTATTTCGAGGAGTAAAACCTCCAGCGGTAACTGAGGCACCATCCAATCTTGAAATAAACCAGTGTTGCCTGCCCACAGAAACAAGACTCACATACTAGACAGAAAAGATATCAAAATATAAATAAACAGGAAGAAAAGTAAACTTGATCTGAAGCCTAATCCCAGGGCGACCACCTGCTTTGCAGGTAGCCCGGAGTCGCCGCATTTGAACCTCCGTGGCCACAAGAGGATTTTTGTTCCTTCTTGGATTTGAACCTGGGACCTCCAGGCACTTTTGACCTTGGAGCCAAGCTCAAACCAATCAAGCACCACCCTTGTATCTGAAGCCTAATTTGATGTCAGAAGTTGCAGGAGAAAAGCTTGCCATGACTTGCAAGGGCCTCACAATTGCAAAAAAATCTAAAAATTGTAAATCAACCATCTAGAATCACCCAGAATAGCAAGCACGAAGGTAGAGTCGGAAGAGAATTTCTATAAAAAAACTACCACTAGCTCCTTACCTTTGCGTCTCCAGATTGAATATATACACATCTCCAAAGCAGTTGACAGCAGCTAGCCACTGTCCATCAAGACTAGTAAACATCTTTGTTATTGGAGGCTGAGTAGGCGGTAATTCTTCATCGGACTCCGTACGACAAGGTGTGAATCTGTGAGTTAACTTCAGACTTCCAACATCTACAACCTGGAATTTTAAGAGATCTCATCAAAGGAGTCTGATAAAGAGCGTAAGATGGAAAGTGGCATTCAAGTCATGTCCCAGGTAAATTATAAACACATGCACAAATATACACCCAAGAGGGAAAAAAAAGTCCACATGTAATAACAGAGAGAGAATGCTCGCTTACATATATCATTCGGTCATGTCCTGATATCATTAACCGTGAAGAATCTGAACTAAAAATCATGGAATGGGCAAATGGTAAACATGAAGGAAGCTTTCTCTTACTTATGGACCACACACTTTTCCCAGTTCCATTCCTTTTCAACTCAAAAAGGCAAGGCTTCACATGATCTGAATAGGAAAAATATCTCCCTGAAGGGGAGATGGAGCTGCAAATGATCTTCCGCGATCCCTTGCTCTTGACTCGAGCCACCATATTCGTAGTTGATAGACCACCAGATGGTCCGGAAACCATGTTAGAAACATCTTCTCTTTTCACATGGACTGTAAAAATATCTAACCAGTGTGAGGCCTGGACCAGAAGCAGACAAGTCAACCTGTCAACTGTACTGCACACCAATTGAATGGGTGGTCTCTGTGGTGCTGGGCAGATATCATGTGGAGCGAATTGTGTGAA